AGGAAAGTAACAACGGCTGAAGGTCCCTTCTAAGGTTCAAAAACACATAAAGTGATGTGGTTAAGTATATGAGAATGTGGTGTGGTCCAAAGCCATGATTTTTGCACTGCCTTATATTTGCTCCAATCCATACATAAAAAGATGCAACAAACATGTATTCAAATCCATATGACACAACAAATACCTAAACATGAATTGAATGGTAGTTGAAAAGGCTGTAATGTTATTCACATTTTCCTTCCTTCTCTCTGTGTAAATCATTTTACAATTTTCTGATAAACTGCAAATTAAAGATGGCCCGTTTTAGCCAGTCATTGGTGAAATTGGAGGTATTCTGTGATCATTTTTCCTCTATTTATTTATTTATTTTGTGTGGATAATACAGTCTTGTTCATTTTTCTACTACACTTCCAATGCTTTAAATCTAAAGGTATGCCTGCTAAAAACAAACATTTTCTACAGGCTTCTGGCATTCTGCCACATAGAACAGTATGATTACCACCATCGCTATTTCTATTTGTGTCTCAATGAAAGAGAGATATTTCCTTTCTTAGTTTGCTTCAAATTGAAGCATCCATAAGCTTCCGTTATATATGCTCAATCCCATACCAACAATTTTGTGTACCCATTGAGAGTCTTGACTTCTCATTATTATATATGACAAGGATCTTTCCAATCTACAACCAAAATATAAATCTCCTTTCGACCATTTTCCAAAGTTCACATGATCAACTGCAGCATATTATTTACTCAATACAACGAAAATTACAACACGAATCACCATATAAAGACCCGAGCTTTACTCATTTTGAGCTCAATTCATTTAATGCCGAATCCAAATTCAATAATTTTCCAGCATTAAAATTGTGTTCATACCAAAAGCAAATAAAAACCAACCAGAATAACAATATAAACAAAAATCGGAAAGTCTACATAATCGATCACCTTGCATAAATCCATTTTTATACAACATACATACTTAACACTGTGACTGCAAAATACGAACAGAAATTAACAAATCTGTCCAAAAGGCATCACCTTTTTTTTTCTTAAAACAAGAAGGTTTTAAACTGCTAACCTCTTAATCTCGTGTGCACGTATCTAGACAACATAAACCACATGTGGGACCTTCCCGTCATCAAATGGCAAGCTGATGTACTCCTGAGCAAACTCCTCAGCAATCTCGAACGCCAGCTCACCCCTCAAAGCCTTGCAGTACATAAACAGAACAGTATTTGCGGCTATACTGTAGAGCATCAAGATCGTCATAAAGGCCGTGTAGACCACCGTTTGGAAAATGAAGACCCAGCTGACCCACCGGCCAGCGATACCACCGGCCTCCGGCACCAGGGACGAGAACAGTGCCGCCAGGCACCCGAGAAGCAACCCAAACAGCAGGATCATCCGCAACGCGACCGGTCTCATCCCGTGCACCAGATACGAGCTCCTTCTCAGAGGTGCAAAACCCCACTGTGATTCAACAATCACGATCACGCTCGACAAACACCACTCCACCCGCAGGTAGATCCACGCGGCCAGGACAAGAGCGGCTAAGGCGAAAGCAAATACCATGAAGTAGACATTATCGTACTCGATTTCAAACCCTAAAAGCGAGACCCCGCTGTAGACCATCGCCGCGAAACCCCCAAATGCAAGGACGACAAGCCCTAGGATCAATTGGGTGACGATTAGTGTTGCGATTAAGGGGAAAATGGAAAACACGATGGATTTTATCGAGGAAACGAATTTCACCGGCCGCCCGTAGAATCCATGGAAGGTGCTGTAGGTGATCGACGAGGTGGCGCAGAGGGAGAGGATGGGGACGAATAGTCCGTAGAGAGTCGGGAGGACGAGATCGGATTTGTGGATCGGCGGCGCGTCGGGATCCGGCGAGGTGAAGAAGAAGGATAGGGTTTGGTGGTAGTGAGAGAGTGTGGAGGAGGAGCGCGTGATGGAAGGGTAGACGATGAGAGAGAAGGAGAGAGGGAGGAGGAAGAGGACGGAGAGGGCAAGGAAATGACGGGAGTGTGCGTTGATGATGCGCTTGGTCTCGTATAGGACGCCGGAAAGGTTCAGGCCGTGGGTCGCCATGGTCGCCGGCAAAGGAAGAATATTGATTTTTGGGTGAAAGTTCGTTCCTTTTTTTTCGGCAGATTGTGTGAAATGTGTTGCGAGGGGTTTCTAGTATGTTCCCGATATAATTATTTTCTAATTCTTCAAAGTGTGCATTACCAATAAATTAAGTTTATATTTGCCGAAAATAAATAAAGAAAAATGTTATAAGTACATAACTAGTACCGTGCGAGAGACAAATATATTACATGAGTTATTTCACAGTATTGTCTGTTTAAGTCTAAAAAGTAATAATGTTATTATCTATTTTCTACCTCTAAATAAAGAGAAATGTTATAAGTACATAACTAGTACGTACCCCGTGCGAGAGACAAATATATTAAATGAGTTATTTTCACAGTCTTGTCTGTTTAAGACTAAAAAGTAATAATGTTATTATCTATTTTCTAACTCTTTTAATCAACGTTAAGTCTAAAAAATTATTAAGCCGCCCTCTGGTAAATATGTATGGAGTTATGTGTTCGTGCTTCATAAGTCACAAACATTATGAATAACATTACAAATTATTCATTCAAACTTTTATTAATTGCAAATATATTAAAGTAGTTTATATAACAGTCATTAAATACCACTTTTAATATATTTATAAATAAAAAGTACATAAAATTTTTTGTGTGTTCAAATTTAAATATTTTTTTATAGGCTCAATTTTAAATCATCCAGACATTTAGTCAAATGTATAAGTGTGTTCAAATTTAAATTATTGGCATTTTGGTCGGTTGAAATTTAAATCATCCACTATGGTACTGTGATGTGTATTATATATATATACAATTTTTTAACAAATAATATGTGGTTTATAAAAATAAAAATAATAATTTCACAATATTTTAAACATAAAATTTGGTTTTAATCACAATAGGAAAATCATGATAAGTTGTATTGAAAAGTGTTATGAGATAAAACAATTAACTAAAATAATTAAAAATACTTGATGAAAATAGAATGCATTAATTAACTTTGACTTTTCTTACTACTAATTACAGTAAATAGAATGTCTTTTTATATAAGTATAAATATTGTACATGGAGTTGTAGATAACACTCACATAAGTGGATTCTACTAAAAATAAAAAAATCAAGTAAATCTCACTCCATGTGAGTGTTATGTACATCTTTATGTACATTTATTATGTACTTGTAGTATTTTTCATAAATAAATTATATAGTTCATACCAACATTTGATTGAGTTTGTTCATAATTTTCATTTGATTTTACTCGTTAAACTCATATTCAAATTCGATCTAACTCGTTAAGGCTCAATATAACAATTTTTTTTATATAATTTAGTTCGCTAAGTCATACATACCACTCCAATATTGATAATGGAATCAAATTCAAACCCATTCATAAACATATTACTCGGCTCGGTAAAGGCTCAACACAAGTTTGAATATCCAATTTTGACGCTCTCATTGAGATCTTGAGACTATCTCCAGCTCTTATCTCTATTCTAGGGTAGACTTTACTTTACGCTAGAGTAGAGTGAAACATTTGTCTCCAGCCTTTGTATCTACATTTTACTCTACATCAAATATATTATTTTTTTAGTCATTTTTATTCCAAATAAATTGATATATATGTATATATTTAATCTTATATAAATGTGTATTACCCAAATAATAAAAACATGTTGATCTTAAAGAAATTAACTTGTTTTATTATGTGAAATTTTTATTCATATGGTACCATTTTAATATTCAAAAGCTGCAAATTAAAGTTATAATACGTAAATAATTAAAAAGCACAATTTTATTTAAAATAAAAAAACACTTGCACAATTTATTTAGCATAGAAAGTATATTTACTAATACACATTATATAATATCATTAATATACATTAAAATACAAAAAAAAAAAAAATATATATATATATATAGAGACATTTAAAAAACACATGGCGCAACACTGTCCCTTTCTCTGAAGTAGCGCAATTTTCTAGTGCAAGGTTGGAGACATTTTCTGCGTTACACTAACGTGTATTTAGAAAGATAGAGCAGGGTTGGAGCAGCTCTTATGGAAGAGTAAATTATCACATGTATTAATGTCAATATTCACCGCATTTTTCCAATCGCATCTTCTCGTTAGAACCTCATCGACCCATAGTGTTTCTTTTTTGGGACAACACCGTGTATACTTATATTCTATATCATACTTTTATTTTTCGGAATGTCATTTTAATTTAGAAGTAAAAAAATATAAATATGATTAGATCATCATTAGGCCTAACATAAAACCTAAATCCATTTTCATACACAAAGATAATAAATGAATACGAAACTTACAAGGAATCATATAAAACTTTAAAGTTGTCAACTATGAAACAGATGTCAAATGCTCTCATGTGACTCCTTTTCAAGATGTCAACTATAAAAGGAGTAGCATTATCACATTTATCAGTAACTTTACATATCCAGTGCACAAAGTTACTGAAAAATTCCGAGTAAAAATATAAGGGCCGGTCGACGATTTCAGGCTTCCGGTTAGACCTCAGCAACCGGTAGTTCGAGTAGCTCCCTTATTCCTTCACAAACCTGCATTCAACCAAGAGGAATGTATTTGTCGAGTGAGTGCACGAAAAATTGCTCCAAGTTCACATCTCTCTCTTTTAAATATTTCAGATGGTCACATAACAGGATGTGGCTGAAGTAGAACTGCTGGAAAGAGTAGAGGAGCATAATTACCATCTTAATCTGAGCTTTAATTGACGCGATTAAACGTGTATAATCGTCTATTTGCCTGCACATAATTAAGAAAGATTTACTTCACACAAGGAAATTAAAAGCAAGCCTTACGGAAGCACAAAGTTTATAAGAAGAGTAGCTACTTGACAACGTGAAGCACTGGCCAAAGAAAAGAAAGAAGAGAAAAGGTCTCAACGTGTTTTCAGTTTTGAAGAAAAAAGGCCCATGACAACTTAAGCTCTGCATTTTGATACTATAAGATTGTTGTAATCTATAGTTCGAGCAAATAACAATTAATCTGAGGTTGGGCCAATCAATGATGTTTATATTACTCGAGCTGTATAGAACTTGATATTGCGGAAAGAATATGATTGCCATTTTGCCAACTAACAACATACATAACGAACTCTTTCTTTGGAAATTGTAAAATAAAAAATACCTGGATAAATTTTCTTCCCTGGTTGCTATGAAGTCTAGAGCTTCAGCCCATGTAAATTCCACGTAAAATCCAAGTCCAACATCTACAAATATATGCCGGGTATCTGGACTGGAAATTTGC